GCTGTGGCTACAATGTAGCTTGCCATCACCAGTGTGTGAATGTGTGTGTGGATGACTGAATGTAGTGTTAAGCGCTTTGGGGTCCATAGGGACTAAGTAAGGCGCTATACAAATACAGGCCATTTACCATTTATTAGTGTAGGTGTTATGAAATCACGCTTTATCTGGTCCCTCACACAAGACCTTGCTATGAGAGACCCTACCAGAGGGCAAAAGCCCACTGGTACGCAAGTCCCTCCACCACGATAAGGTAGCAATTCACTGAGGAGTTCTTCAAATATACATAATACTAAACGGTTGTCATTAGATTTATTTTCACACTACAGGATTCACTTATGTTAACAGGCTAAGTTAAAGCTAAGTAGTTTTAAAATATGAGAGTGTTGTCATTAGGTGATCTATGACCATGTCAGAGTTAACAAAGTTATTATTTAAGAGTAAAATTTAATAGTATTCATTGTTATCAGAATTCGTAAAAATGTATCTAAACTTGAGGGTTTTATGGCAAGTTTGTGTGTTCTCCCCCACTTTAAAAAAGGCATGCTTGTGTGAATACCTAGTGATTGTAGAATGTCTTTTGTTAGTGATGTGAGAGTGAATACTTGTGCATCGCTCTGTGATGAACTGATTACCTGCTCAGATGTACCTGCCTTTGTCTACAGCTAAGGCAGGATTCAGGACATGACTCCTAATTGAATAAGTGGTTAAGAAAAGAAAGACAGATGGTGCATGGAATGTTATCAGTCTGGTTGAGATCTGTATCATGTTAATCACACACAGAAATTTTATTTTTATTGTCAACTGACCTTGATTGATCCTAAATAGCCTACTGTTACTTATATTTAAAACAGCTAAATAAAACACTTGACATGGTTAAAAAAAACAACTGAAGAAAAATCAGTTTCTACTGTCTCAGAGAGGGCCTTAGATCAGTGACTATAGTTAACAGTGTGCGTGTGTACGAAACATTAATCTTTACATTACCTGTTATTTGTGATCTTTACTAGACATATGGCACATAATTCTTACGTGATAGAGCATTGTGATATCTGGCTTTTTTCAGATTTTTACAATAATTGTTATGTGTACCTTATGGGTTTAAAAATGGTGGTTAAAGGTGTTGGATTACTTTTTTGTTATAAAACCTTTAACAGTGAAGAGAAGCAGACTAGGAAATGGTTTGAAAGTGAAAGCTGGTGTACATTAGTCTAAATCAGTCATCTGACAACAAATGAACAGAAACTTTGTAAGAAAAACTTTATTGTGACTTAAGCTGGATTTAAATACAATGTTGTGAAGATACAAATAAATGCAAGGTTAGCCACAACAGCTGCTTACACTTAACATCTAAATATATTTTGCTTTACCTGTTGTTGTGGGGACACTGCTTTTAGAAAAAAAGTATTCAATCAGACCCCCGAAGTGCCAGATAGAGACCAGCACTGTTGCTGTCATGTGGAGCTTGGTAGTGAGGGTAACAGCAAGGGTATGTCTCTTTAAAATTTGGTCATGGTAAATGCTAAGCAGACAGATACTGAGTTTTCTTTCCACACATAAGGAGAGAGGGCAACAGGGTCCTGGTGATCTGCAGTTGTTATCATTCTGCAGGTGTTTGCGGTCCATAGCAGTAGTGCTGCTGTACCATGCAGTGATGCAGCTGGTCAGGGTGCTCTCCACAGTGCAGCTGTAGAACCTGATAAGGATCTTGTCCAACATACCAAATTTCCTCAGCCTCCTCAGGAAATACAGCTGCTGCTGAGCCTTCTTGACTATCTGTGCGGTGTTCAGTGTCGAGGTGAGATCGTCAGTGATGTAGGCGCCTAGGTAACTAAACCTGCTCACCCTCTCCACTTCAAGCCCCCGGTTAAACAGCAGCTGGTGAGACCTCCTCTTCTTCCTCATGTCCACTATAATCCCTTTTTGTCTTATCAGTGTTGAGGGTGAGGTTGTTGTCCCCACACCATGACACCAGACCAGCTACCTCTTTCCTATAAGCTGCTTTGTCCCCTCCAGTGATGCAACCAATCACTGCAGTGTCGTCCAAAAACTTCAGTATGATATTATCCCTATCGGAGGTGACACAGTCGTGGATGTACAGGGTGTAGAGGATGGGAATGACGACGTAACCCTGTGGAACGCCAGTGTTAGGAATAATGCTGGCTGAAGTCCTGTTGCCGATCCTGATGGACTGGGGCCTGCCAGTCAAAAAGTCCCGTAGCCAGTCACAGAGTGTCACAGTGACCACAGTCCGATAGCTAAACTGGACTCAGATGCAGAGAACCACAACAGAGACGGCTTGTACGTTTTACAGTGTTTATTAAGAAAACAGGTTAATTTGCAGCAGAGAGTAGTGATGCTGTGGGTCAGTGAGAGTGAACTGGGAATTGGCAGGTGCGAGGGGAATGAAGCAGGTGCATCTGGAAGAGAAGAAGATGAGTTTAGGAAGGTGGCAGGCACAGGACACCTAGGGAAGGTGGGTATGACTGATATTGTTTACTGATAGTCGGGGTGAGCTTGGCTTTGAGGGAGAGGTGGTGAAAATCTGGGAGAGAATTGGCAAAGGCTGGGTGACCTGAGTTCCACTGCGTTCAAGGTGGTGAGTGATAGCTGGAGGGCAGGCAGGTGAGGTGCACTGTATTTTCCAGAATGCGGAGGTAATCCAAGAAGAGCTGAGGTTGAAGGCAGTGGTGAAAAAGTTCCAGGGGAACTGTGGCACAGGAAACAAAGTAAGCTACAAAACGAGTAGCAAGAGCATGAAAAACGTAGAGCCGATACCAATGTGAGGTTGTTGACGAACTGGCGGTAAAGGAGAGTCTGAGTAGAGATTAAATCCTCAACCTGATTACCCAGAAGCAGCTTCAGGTGTGCAGGACTGCAGGAGGGATGATGGCTCCGCCCAGGACTGGGGACCAAGGAACTCAGGTGCCTGATGGAATTTTCCAGTCATACCTCCAGATCATGACACAGAGGCTATGGTGTAGGCCGAGTGTTGCCAGCTTGTGAGGGAGTTTGTGTGGGATGACAGTATTGAAGGCGGAGCTGTAATCAACAAAAAGTACCCTGATGTAGAGTCTTTGTTTTCCAGATGGGAGAGGGAATAGTGAAGGGCAGCAGTGATGGCGTCTGACGTGGACCTATTGGACCGGTAGGCATACTGCAGGGGATCCAGAGTGTCTGGGATGTTACTCTGGATGTAGGCCAGCACCACTCTCTCGAAGCACTTTGTAATGATTGGAGTGAGTGCAACTGGTCTATAGTCATTTAGGCAGGTGGCTGGGCTTTTCTTGGGAAGAGGGATGATGGTTGTGGTCTTGAAGCATGTGGGGATGGTACTCTGGCTGAAGGACAGGTTGAAGATGGAAGTGAGAACATCAGGCAGCTCATTAGCACATGCTTTAATCCTCTACTGCATAGAGTTGCCCTGAGGCAACAAACCACATTTTCATGCCTCACACTGGTCCTTCAAAAAAATATATATTTTTTTTCAAATAATGCTACCAGGCACATCTCTTTCCAATAAAATTATGAGTTGAAGGTGGTCTGACTTTCATTTGGGGGGGAACCCCTTTCTGCAAGCTGCACTACATGAGAGACATCTCCATTAGGAGGCAGGATAAAGATCACTATTTTACATGTTTATAGTGAAATAAATGTATATTAAAAAATACTTGTATGTGCATGAATTTGTTAAGAAGCATATTTGATTGTTTGTTCTACTTTTTAAAATGTATTTATACAGTAAAACTGTTAATTTTCATTCGTTGCCTCAAGGCAACACTGCGCAGTTAGCCCAATTTTTTTCAGGCAATATAATGCATTTGCATATGTGTGTAGAGATGTGTTTGTGTGCATTTATATGATCATAGTCAATGTTTTTTACTTTACAATCTACTCATAATTACAGGACATGGATGTAAATACCTTTTATGGAAGGAATCCAATCCTCAGAAAGTGAGGACAGTGAGCTTTCAGGGAGTGACAGTCAAAATTTATGATTGATATATTATCAGGGACCCTAAAGCTCCCCCAAAATAGGGAGAAATTTTTTTTCACCCAAAATTAAAAAGCCATGCAGTAGAGGGTTTAAAGGGCTTGTCCCAGGATGTTATCTGGTCCTGCTACCTTGCGGGGGTTGATCCTCCTCAGGGCTAAAACCCTGAAAATGTGAAAAAGAGTTGATGTAAGTTTAGATGAAACCTGGGGACTTATGTCTGCTAATTAATTTCAGCAGGTTGAATCATACATTGTTGTAAATATATTTACCTGTGACTCATAGCTCTATGGCTGAAAATGTTTTCCTTTATTCTGAAAGCAGTAAATTTACTTAATGCTAATGCTTTCCTGCATTTAACATCACACATTAATAAGAAGATTACTACCCTCACCCTCACAGACATAAACCTCAGTCAGAAACCCTCAGTCAGGAATGCCAGATCAGAATAATTAATTCTTTCAATTCTCAACATCAAGCAGTTTAAGCTGCTGTTATGTTTACTCTTGTTTCCACCTACAATGCTGCTACAGTGGAGTCTTTGTTTGGAAGGTGGTACTTTCAGAGAAAAGAGTGATGTTTCAAGTGCTTCAGTCATTGTCTGATTCACTTTTCTTCAACTTCTGCCTCACCATCACCATTTCTTATTTTGGTGCAGACTCTGACTTGTAAAATAGGGATGGGTTTTCCTGGAAGCGTATTATACCAACGAATTGTCACCTAACATAGAATGTTACGCTTTGGAGTGAGAACGTGTTGCTGTAGTAGATGTCATGTTGCCTGGAAATCCTGCTGCAGTTCTGAACCAAGGTTTCTTTTGGTTCCTTTTTAGTCTGAAATCAGATATGATACCAGCACTTCTGAGTTCATCCATCATTATTGTCCAGTGATGAGATTACTGCTCCATTTGGTAACAGTCAGCAGATTTTTCCTGCGTGTCGACATGAACAGTCGTACCTGACAGCAGCAGGCTTTATAATAACGCACATTATATTTTCTATAATCACAGACTGACCAATTGTCGACTCTCAGCGACTCACTGTAAAGTTGTGGCCTCAGCTCTGAAGTCCAACCCCTCCCATCTGACAGAGCTGGATATGAGTTACAACGACCTGCAGGATTCAGGAGCGAATCTTCTGTGTGCTGGACTGGAGAGTCCAAACTGTCGACTGGAGACTCTGAGGTGAGTTCACTGACTGCAGCTGTTGTTGTTTTTCTATATTTCAAATCTTTGATTAATGTTTGAAACTTTCTTTAGTTCCTAATTGTTCAGAATGTCTCTAAAGACAAATGTGAAGAAGTTTGAGTGCTTTCAGAAATGTGGTGTCTTTCCAAATGACTGAACAACAGTTTTCTCTTTTGGCTCCAAATAGAAGTGACAGACTTGAGCAGGGTTCAGTTGAAGGCTGACAGAAGTGTAGTGGGGACCGGGAGATTTGGGAGGACAGTTTTTCAGCCTTCACAGGTCCGTATTGTGCTCCATGAGTCAGTGAAGATGAAGTCAGTACTGATGAGGCTGTAGAGTGTATGAGGGATGTGAATAAGGCTGGTGAACGCTGGCGCGACTTGCTGCCTCTACTCACCGCTAACCCTCTCGCTACTTTTCTTTGCTATTCCTGCTTTCTACCCATGCTACTCGCTTCTTGTTATTTCCTACTTGCCCCCTTGCTATTGATACCCCTTGCTCCTGCTGCTGTTATTGCTATTCACTGATATCCTCTACCGGCGTCCCGGCTTCTTCCATCCCCATTGTTCCCTCCCACTGATTCCTCCACTCTTCCTGTCTGTACGGCCCACCAGTGTCTCTGCTCCTGTCCGTGATGTGGCCTCCCAGGATCTACACACAGTCTGTGTGAGTCTTTATCCTTGTGTCATCGATCTGTCGACCTGGTAATGGACTTCAATACACAGCCAATGAGCTCCTCCTACTCTGATTTTCCCTGGCTGCTCCACCGACGGCTGTTCTTCATCTCCACATGGATATAGTTTTCCTCCCTCGCCAAAAGTACATTTATCAGCTCTCCTACCAGAATTTTCATCAGGATAATTCTAAGCCAATCCAATCCTTCTGGTTCACCTCTCATCGCTCTCTGTGGAACCCTGGCAGGACTGTTAACCACAATGTTTTGGCTAACCTGACTTTGTTGGCTAACACTCTCATTCAGTCTGACAGTACCTGCATCAAATTGTAAATTGAGAGCTTCGCTTTTACACTCAGCTCTCTCTTCACCACAACAGACCAGTACAGCGTCCGCATCACTGCAGCCGCTGCACCAATCCATCTGTCGATCTCCCACTCCCTTCTCCCATCACTCGTGAACAAGACCCCGAGATACTTAAACTCCTCAATTCGGATCAGGGTCTCGTCCCTGACCCAGAGAGGGCACTCCACCCTTTTCCGGCTGAGGACCATGGCCTCAGATTTGGAGGTGCTGATTCTCATTTCCACCGCTTCACACTCGGCTGCGAACCTTTCCAAGGCGAGCTGGAGGCTATCACCCGATGAAGCCAACAGAACCACATCATCTGCAAAAAGTAGAGATGAGATCCTGAGACCACTGGAGTGATAGCCTTCCGCCACTTGGCTACGCCTGTGACAAAGGGCAGTCCTGGCGGAGTCCATCACGCACCAGGAACGAGTCCGTCTTATTGCCGGCAATGCAGACCAAGCTCTTGCAACGTATAAGGACTGAGTGGCTCTTAGCAATGGGCCAGACACCCCATACTCTCGGAGCACCCCCCACAGGACCCCCCGAGGGACACAGTCAAATGCCTTCTCCAAGTCCACAAAACACATGTAGACTGGTTTGGCAAACTCCCATGTGCCCTTGAGTATCCTTGAGAGGATAAAGAGCTCGTCCAGGGTTCCATGACCAGGACAAAAACCGCATTGTTCCTCCTGTATCAGAGGTTCGACTAACGGACAAACTCTCCTCTCCAGCACCCTGGCATAGACTTTCCCAGGGAGGCTGAGGAGTGTGATTCCCCTGTAGTTGAAACACACCCTCTGGTCCCCTTCCTTAAAGATGCGGACCACCACCCCAGTCTGCCAGTCCAGAGGTACTGCCCCTGATCTCCACGCAACATTATCCGCAAATCACTATCTTATCATGGTGGAGGGGTTTGTGTGTCCGAGGGATCCCAGGGGCTATGTTGGTAAGGTCTCCCATGGCAAATTGGTCCTGGGTGAGGGACCAGACAAAAAGTGATTCAGAAGACCCCTATGAAAAGACCATAGAGGGAGGCCCGAGGGCGAGCGTCTGGTGGTCGAGCTTTAGTCCATGGGGCCCGGTCGGGCACAGCCCCAAAAAGAGACAAGGGCACATATTCCTGCAGGCCCACCACCCGCAGGTGGCACTGTAGGGGTCTGGTGCATTGTGAGTCGGGCGGCGGCCAGGAGCAGAGGCCCTGGTGGACTGAACCCCAGCTACCAAGACTGGCAATTGGGACATGGAATGTCACCTCTCTGGTGGGGAAGGAACCTGAGCTAGTGCATGAGGTTGAGAGGTACCGGCTAGATATAGTGGGCTCACCTCAACGCACGGCCTGGGTTCTGGAACCAGTCCCCAGGAGAAGGGCTGGACTCTGGAGTTGCTGGAGTTGCCCCTGGTGAGAGGCATCGGGCTGGGGTGGGTATCTTGGTATCCCCTCGGCTTGCTGCTGATATGTTGGGGTTTCTCCCAGTGGACGAGAGGGTTTGTTCCCTTCACCTTCGGGTCAGAGAATGGGTCCTGACTGTCATCTGTGTTTATCCGCCGAGCGGCAGTTCAGAGTACCTAGCCTTCTTGTAGTCCCTGAGTGGGGCACTGGAGGGTCACCAGACCTGAAGCCATATGTCTTGGACACTCGGGTAAAGAGAGGGCCTGAGCTGTCAACTGATCACCACCTGGTGGTGAGTTGGATCAGGTGGTAAGGGAGGACGCTAGACAGACCTGGTGCATCCAAACGTACAGTTAGGGTGTGCTGGGAACGTCTAGCAGAGGCCCTGGCCTGCGAGATCTTCAACGCACACCTCCGGCAGAACTTCCACAGCATTCCGAGGAATACTGGTGACATTGAGTCCGAATGGACCATGTTCAGCACCTCCATTGCTGAAGCCGCTGCATGGAGTTGAGGCCACAATGTAGTTGGTGCTTGTAGTTGGTGGTAACTCCCGAACCAAATGGTGGACACCTAAAGTGAGGGGAGCCACCAAGCTAAAGAAGGAGTCCTACCGGGCTTGGTTAGCCTGTGGGAATCCGGAGGTGGCTGATAGGTACCGACAGGCCAAGCGGAATGCGGCATGCGCGGTGGCGGAAGCAAACAAAAACTCGGGTGTGGGAGGAGTTCGGAGAAGCCATGGAAAAAGACTTTCGGACTACCTCGAAGAGATTGTGGCAAACCATCAGGCAACTAAGGAGGGGAAAGCGGTGTTCTACCTGCGCTGTGTATAGTGTGAGGTCAGCAGCCTCTTCGTCAGGCAGTGGAAGGAATCAAAGGAGCAGGGAAAGAAAAGCGTCTGGACTTCTTTAAAGTTACTTGAAGACGTTTCACCTCTCACCCGAGAAGCTTCTTCAGTTCTAAGGAGGGAAGGAATATTTCGAGGTCCTCCTCAATCCCACTGGCACGTCTTCCATGGCAGAAGCAGAGTCTGGTGACGAAGGGGAAGAACCGCCAATCTCTGGGGGCGAGGTCACTGAGGCACATTAAACAACTCCTTGATGGCAGAGCCCCTGGGGTGGACGAGGTCCGGCTCTGGATGTTGTAGGGCTGTCTTGGTTGACACGTTTCTGCAATGTTGCGTGGAGATCAGGGGCAGTTCCCCTGGACTGGCAGACTGGGGAGGTGGTCCCCATCTTTTCAGAAAAGAGACCTGAGGGTGTGTTCCAACTCCAGGGGAATCATACTCCTCAGCCTCCCTGGGAAAGTCTATGCCAGGGTGCTGGAGAGGAGAGTTCGTCCACTAGTCGAACCTCGGACTAATTGGAACGTCTCAATAAGAAAACCAGCCTTACTATTCATAAGTAAATGCTTAATAATCATGTTCTGTTTTGTAAGGAGTGTATCAGTTGAACTAAATATGCCTATTTCTCTACCATGATCTTCTAAAGCGAGGATTCTACTAAGACACTTTTCTCACTATTCAGCTCTTTTCTCAGGCGACCTGACTTTCTACCCACTCATCTCTACCCATCTAACTTCTTCAACTCTCTAATGCTATTATTTACTGAAAAAAATCACAAGATACACTAAGACCTGGCTAATATTGCTTAATTTAGCTCTTCCTTCTTTATCCCACCCCCACTCCCTCTGTCACTGACATCTCTGATCTCATTCGCAAATCAAAGCCTTCTACCTGTCAGCTTGACCCCTTTCCTACCGTCCTAGTAACACCTGTCTACCCCCTCTCCTTACCCTCACATCTGCTATTATCTACATCTCACTCACCACTGGAACTGTTCCTGCTTCTCTCAAAGTTGCTGCCATGACCCCAATTCTGAAAGAACAGGTCTAGATCCAAATAACCTGACTAATTTTGTCCTATCTCCAATCTACCATTTCTCTCAAAGAATTATATATATAAAAAAAGTTGCTTCACATGCCCATCTACACCAACTGCCTGCTCTTATAAAAATAACCAATGATCGTCTTATGGCAGCTGACTCCTCTCTCACTCCATCCTTCTCAGCAGATTAGTTTTATCTGCCTTTTTTCATACCCCACTAGCCTGGTTCAAATCAGGCTAGTGATTTTTTTTCTTCTCTCTCTCTTGGAGGAGGTGGACGCATTTCTCACCTTTTCCTTCCCTTATCTTCTCTGCTGCTGCTTCTATGTCCTTGTCTGGTCTCGTCTGATTCCAACCCTTAGAGAGCCTCTCGTTCCCGCTCTTGTTCTCTAAAACTTAAAGAACTATGGATTTTATCAACTGGTCCCTTAATGCAATTGACAATCTATTCTCGATGAGAAGCCTGGGTTGGGGAGAGCCTGAGTGTCCTGGAGGGACGTTCCTTGCTGGATACACGATGGACGGGTGGCAGAAGTGGCGCATGGTGTGCCTGGCGGGACTGTCTATCGAGGACATTGAAGACCTCTACCTATTCGGAACCATGATAACAGGATTCTGAACAAATATGGGAAACATCTTGGAGGAGCTCACGGCTCTTAAAAGAGAGATACACCTGGAGACCAGTGATGGACATTAGAACGAGTGTAAAATGGATGCAGTTCGTTCGCCCTAAACCACTTACCTCCATCTCTAAAGCGCCCACCTCCGACAGCGCCAGCTGCTTGAAAGTTGACGCCGAGGAGAAGAACAATATTCTTCCAGGAGATATGATAACGAGAACGTACTGACTCTCTGCCCTATTCTTCAAGGCCACCTGCATAGGCTGCAGACTGTTGATCTTTGCCTAACAGGCGAAAGGACACTTTCTCAGGCTGAACTCAGGACACACACCCCAACACGCTCGCACACATGAACACTGGTACTGACATGCACTCACCGCACTCCCTTCCCCGGATCCAACGCCTCCTCCCATGCTTACCTCCCCCCGATGGAGACAGCGGCTCAGCTGGAGGCACGAGGAATCGCAGTGACCATGACCCACAGTGTATATCGGCATACCCCCGCCCTTATGTTGCTTGACTGTGTTTTCATGGCGTTACAGTGTGATGATATCTGTGCTTTTTTAATGTGCTATGGAGATTTTTTTGTTTTCTCCTCATGATGTCTCCCTTGTTGGAAGTCATCATGAGCAGAAATGCTCTTTTTTTCTCCTGAATTTGCCCCTATGTCTTACATATCTCACTGTCTATCTCTTCTTTTGCTGTGTAGCCTGACCTGTCTCCCCAATGTCAGTTTGTATATTGTATGTATTGTATGTTCATTCGATTAAAATCCTTCATCTCTCAGCCTTTTCCTCTGTCTACTGGGGTGCCCCAAGGATGTTCCACTTGGACACGTTTTCCGTAAATATAATATTGAGTCCCACTGTTATGCCGATGACACCCAACTTTACCTGTCCACCAAACCCGACTCTACTCTTCCTCCTCCCTCTCTTACCCTCTGCTTAGCTGAATTTAATTCATGGTTTTCCTCAAACTTTCCTAAACTCAACACCAACAAATGAGAGCTTCTCTTGGTTGGCTCTAAATGATTGCTATCCAGAACTAACTGTTTTTCTGTTACTATCAATAATTATTTCTCCCTCTGTGAAAAGTTTGGGCGACATTCTTGACAGCACACTATCCTTTAACTCACTCATCAATAATGTCACTTACTCAGCATATTTCCAACTCTGTAACATCACTCCACATGCCACTGCCATTCTCGTCCATCGTCTTGTTACCTCTCGGATCGTAACTCACTCTTATTTGGCCTTACACAAAAATCCATCAATAAGCTTCAGTTTGTCCAGAACTCTGCTGCCCATATTATTACTAGGACTCCCTCTACCGACCACATCACCCCTATCCTGAAGCAGCTTCACTGGCTCCTGGTTAAACTCCGCGTTAATTTTAAATGTTCCTTTATATATTTAAGGCAATTCATTCTCTCTCTCCATCATACCTCTCTGATTTGGTACAGATCACCATCCCATCCCTGTGCCTCAGATTCTTCTCTTCTTTTTTTCTTTATGTTCCTTCCTCTCATCTTATTACCATGGGGGGCAGGGCTTTTAGTCACTACTAAAATAGCCTACTCTATATAACTTCTCCATGCTCTTAAACTTTCTTTTATTATTGTGTACATTTCCTGTTTTTATGCCTGTATTATTTGCTCTGTACAGTGTCCTTGGGTGTTTTGAAAGGAACTTTTAAATAAAATGTATAATAATAATAATAACAATAATAATAATAATATCTCATGATAGCAGATAAAAACAGGCTGCAGAGACTTTGAGCTTCTGTGGAAACAGAGAGAGAGAGAAAACAAAGACATGAATGTCAAAGCTAATAAAGGTGAAGTTAGGAGCATGGTATCAGAAGCTGGTATGGCTGCTACAGAAACAACCCACACAGCTTAGAATTATACTATGGAGTCAATTATTTCTAATTTGAGGCTCTATTTTTCACAGGAGCCTCAGTATCCAGAGTCGTACATAGTGAGGAGGTAAAATTATTAACAAGATAATCGACCTCTGTTGGGGTAGTGTTCAGATAGTTGCTCTGCTCTGTGTTGGTACAGGTCATTGACGATGATAACAGTGGGTGGATTATATTCTTAAACTTAGTTACAGCACTTTCAGAAAGACATCTACTGTGATAAAGTCTACTCTCCACTGCTGTGTAATCAATTATTGTAAATGTAATTGTTTTAGGAAATGATCAGACAGGAGAGGGTTTTCAGGAAACACTGTTAAATGTTCAGTTTCTATGCCATATGTTAAAACAAGATCTAGAGTGTGATTAAAGTGGTGGGTGACATTTTGAGAGAAGCCAATTGAGTCTAATAACAGATTAAATGCTGTGTTGAGGCTGTCAGTGGATGAAGTATATCCTTAATTAACTCAGGCAGTTTGGTTGATTTAAACAAAAACAATCATCCTACTGTAGGTTTCTGCAACAAAGAAGTTACAGCTTCAACTCCTGGATCAAACCATGAAATTCTCCCTGCTTTTGCTTTCTGTGAGAATTGGATGAACCCACAGTCACTATTTTTTCCTTTCTTGTTTAGAAACATCAGGACCAAGTCATTGTCTCTTGGTGTTGATTTTTTTCAAGTGGGTTATTTTGAGAAGGAATTTTCTGAAAAAAATAGAATATGTTTGTTGTGTATGTGCAAACAGCACACAACAAGTTCAGATCTAAAACGTTTAGAGTTTTATGTGCCTTTTTCAATGTCGTCGGTATGCAGTGGTATTTAATTTGTAAAAATGGAAAATGCTTCAATAACCTCCTGCTAATACACAACACAGAGTTTGGTGACAATAATGACAGTAGATGTTTGTGTGAAAGTGCTGGAAGCAAATGAGTGTGTGATGTTCTTTCAGTGTTGCACTTTGTAGACGCTCCCTGAGCACTGGTCTCACAGCCAGCTGCACATAGAGACCAGTGTTGTTAGTCCAGGTCAGAAGATGACTTGTTGGAATGAAAATGAGCTTGTAGTTTGTCTGCTTTAATAATGTGACTGGAAAAAGGTGTTGGACTTCAAATATGTCCATTTCTTTCACACTTCACCTTTAAAAGTGAAGCCATGTGGTTCCTGGAAGGAAAAACACGACTTTTTCAAGTCTTTTTCCTGTTTTTATGAGAGTTTCCATTTTCTAAACTTCTACATTCTGAACCTTCTTCAGCTCTGAACAGATGATGAAACACTGAATGATTTCAAGCACTTTGTCTAATAAACTTACATCTTTCATTCTTTATACAGATTGAAGCGCTGTGGTTTGTCAGAGATCAGCTTTCTGGGCTTAGCATTGAAGTCCAACCCCTCCCATTTGAAACAATTGGACTTGAGCTCCAATAACAACCTGCAGGATTCAGGAGTGAAGCATCTGTGTGGTTTCCTGGAGAGTCCAGGATGTGGACTTGAAACTCTGAGGTCAGTCAGCATGTTTTAGTTGTTCTGAGATGAATATGATGTGAAAGTTGTGCTGACACTAAACTGCAGACATCAGGCTGATATTATACTGATCCACACTGAGGATCTTCATGGTAAAGTCTGTTTTCTTCTTCTCTGGTTTAGTCCATTGACTGCAGCAGAACAATGTTCACATTCAAACCTTCAAACAGTGATACTTAACCATTTCCCACATGTGCCCGTTCACAGCGTGCCTGAAAAACAAACAAACAAAAATAAAATAAATCCATGCCAGATAATTACAATCCCTCCAGGACATGCATGCAACTGTTTCCCTAAACGCTTCCTACCACTGCAACTAAATTGTCTTAGGCAAAGCAAATCACGTCATCATAGGTGCTCAAGCTAGTCCTTGTTTAGGTGTTTTTTACCCTTTTGATCCCCTAGGTTCTAAAGACCTTCCTTTTACATTAAGAAGTTTGTCACTTGTTTTTCACTCATAAGTCTCACAGGATCTTGGCCCTGTCATTCTCCACCACCCTTGGGTGCGTCTTCCCCTTTTGACCTCGGGACCTCCAGGCTGTATTCGGCACAAATGTTTCTGTACACTATGCCGGGCACTTGGTTATGGTTCTCCATGTATGCCCTGCCTTAAAGCATCTTGCACCCTGCTGTTATGTGCTGGATTGTCTCAGGGGCATCTTTACACAGCCTGCACCTGGGGTCTTACCTGGTGTAATAGACCTTCCTAGCGGCCTCTTCATTGTTCCCATTTGCCAGTGGGATTTCCAGGCATTTGTAGCTGTCCTCTACGTCTGCAATGTTGCTTTTGGTAATTCAATCCCCTCAGTTCTGACTACCTTCCTTCTTTTTCTTATCATCCGACTAAATTTCTCCAGTCTGAATGACATTCTATCATTGCTGGATATCCTGGTAGTGTGGATCAGTAAATCGATGTCTCATTCACTCTTGGCATACAGCTTGATGTCATCCATGTACAGGAGGTTGCTGACAAGTGCTCCCTAACGTAGTCGGTATTTGTAGCCAGTCTTGTTGGTGAGCTCACTGAAGTGGTTCATGCCTATGCAGAACAGCAGTGGGGATAAGGTCAATGTCAAGGTAACTTTATTTATACCCATAGGCAAGGTAAATTTGCTTTACAGAAAAATGACAGCATTTGGCATCCCTTCAAAAACACACATACCTAAAGATATAAACCTCACTGTGGCACATATATAGTAATTTAATATTTCAAAATCAAAAAAACAGTTCTTATTTAATTCAGTGACAGCAACGGGGACAAAGCTATTTTTATAATGCTTTGTCCTGCATCTCGGAAATAGAAACCTCCGTCCTGAGGAAAGAAGCTGAAATTCACCCCGTAGAGGATGGGAACCATTTTTAAGGATTGATAAAGCCATCCTCTGTACCTGCTTGGAGCACAGGGAGGCTAAACAAGACTGTGGCTCACCTATCAGACGACTGGACCATCTCACTATCTGATTCAGAGAGTTTTTCTCTGTGACAGAGGTCTGACCAAACCATGCCACCAAACAAAAGGATAAAACAGACTCAATAAAAGAACGATAAAACAAAGTTAAAATGTTTTGGTCAATGTGGAAATGAGCAAGTTTCCTAAGACAATAAAGGTGCTGGTGACCCTTTTTACAAACTGATTTGCAATTTTGATCAAAGTTCAGTTTTTCATTGATTATGGTCCCAAGATATTTATATGATTATAATTGCTCTATTTTCTGACCTTTAATTAAAGTGACTGTGTGCCCATTTTGTTTCCTAAAATCAACAACCATATCTTTTGTTTTAGATATGTTCAGCTGGAGATAAGACTCCTCACACCACTGAACAAAGTCATCAATGACTGGACCGTGGTTAGTTTCACCCTCTTTCAGTAAGCTGACAATAACAGAGTCATCTGCATATTTAATGATGGCCCTGTTTTCATGTCTGCTTTGACACATGTTTGTATAGAGAATGAATAATAAGGGCGAGAACCTGTGGAGGAGAACACTGGGTCAGACAGAACCCCATTTATTCTCACTCTTTGTGACCTGTCAGTTAAAAAATCTAAAATCCAGCCCACCAGGTTTTTCCTGATTTCAAACTGTTCTAAAAGTATTTTAATTAAAATATGGGGCTGTGTTATATTAAAAGCCGAAGAAAAATCAATGAAAAGAAGTCTTGCAAAAGTCCCTTTACTCTCTACATGTTTAAGAATTTAAGAAGAATCAGATTTAGTAAAGTCAAAAGTGCATCCTTCACTCCTCTATTGGGCCTGTATGCAAACTGCACTGGATCCAGCTGGTGTTCAGTCTCTTTCATAATCACATTTCTGATGATTCTAAAGACTTTTATTACAACTGAAGTGAGGGCAACAGGCCTGAGGTCATTTAGAATTTTTGGACGACTAGATTTAGGGACAGGAACCATGACTGCTTCTTTCCAAAGAGAGGGCACATGTTGTGTTTGCAAGGATTGATTAATAATAACTTGAAATATAGGACTGAGTTCTTCAGCACAAGATTTATTTAGGCAGCCACTAATATTATCAGGACCCTGGCTCTTGTTCACATTGACTGTATGAAAGGCCTTTTTGACATTGCTGAGTTCAATGATAAAGTGCTGAGTGTCTCTCAGTTTCTGTTTGAGTTCCAAAATATCCTCACTAAAATCAGAAGAACTAAAACGAGCATAACATATTTCAAGCATTTGCAAAATCTCTGTCTGAATTAAAACCATCTAAAATGACCTGACTGCTGCTCTGGGGATTCTGAAACCCTGCTATGGTTTTCATACAAGTCCAGACAGACCCAAAATTTTTTGCAGCAAATTTGCTTTCAAGAAGGTTTTGTAGCTCTGTTTTGCTTTCAAGATCTCGATTTTCAGTTCCTTGGTGGCTGTCTGAAAATCAGTAACAGCCCCCTCTTTAAAGGCCTGTCTCTTTTTCCTTAAACAGGATTTGAAGCTTTTAGCGACCCATGGCTTATTGTTAGCGTAGACTTTAACACGCTTATGGGGTATAATCATGTCTTTAGAAAATACTGCATAAGAGCTAGTGACATCCACCAAAGCGTCAAGATCATCTCCACAAGACTGAATAAAAACTTCCCAATCTGTACACTTAAAACATTCCTGCAAGGTAAGCACAGATTCTTCTGACCATATGTCCTTAGTCTTTGTCTTCTCTTCTCTCGTTTTAAGACAGTTTTATAGATGGGCAGAAGATGCACACAGTTATGGTCAGAAGATCCCAGAGGAGGAAGCGGGAGGGATTTATAAGCATCCTTCACCGATCTGTAACAAAGGTCCAACATTTTATCCCGTCTGGTAGGACAGGATATTGATACAGATTGCCCAAAGTTGATTTAAGAGAGACATGGCTAAAGTCCCCCATTATAAAGTTTGGGGCGTCAGGAGAGAGCGCCTGCAGCTTCTGCACTAGATGATGATGATGAGATGATGCTGCAGGTGGAGGTGGGGTGAGCCGTCGGGTGAATGTAAACTACGGCAATAAAAAGTTGTGGAAACTCACGAGGGAGATAAAAAGGGTGCAGCAACACGGATAAAAGTTCAACATCTGGTGTACAAATACACTCTCTAACAGTCACAGCGCAACAGTAACGTTTGTTCACATACAAGCATACTCCCCCTCCTTGAGATTTCCCTGTTACCCGTGCATCCCGATCCCGGCGAAAGGGAGCTCCAAAACCATCAATTGAAAAATCGGCATCCCGATCCAGCTCCGTCAGCCATGTCTCGGAAAAAGCCATTACACAGCTGTCCTTGAAGTCTTTCTGAAACCTGACGTTTCCCTGGAGTTCATCCAGCTTGTTCCTAAGAGACTGAACATTTCCAAGGATAACAGAGGGCAGGGGAAACCGACTGACCTGTTGTCTCCTCAGATGTAATTCAACACCTCCACGTCTCCCTCTTTACCTCTTCCTCTTCTCACTCGTTCTGTTAGAGTCTCTATGTATAAAATCCGGCATACATGAGGTGAGGTCCTTACCATCATACGGTAAGTTAAGTTGTAACAGCTTGTCGTGGGAGTAAACAATCCTCAGCTGACTCACGGCCTCGCCCACATCATTGGAAACAAGCCAGCACAGTAGAAATCCAACCACAATGAAGAAAAAAGAATCCACGACGTTCTTACTGTTGTGGAGCCTGTGTCACTTTGTAAGAAAACTGTCACTTCCTTCAACCAAAACACATGCCAGTGATAGAAACGAAAAGAAATGATAAGAACTTAAAAACTTAGGATGCCAAGCTCTCACTCACTGCCGGTCGATGCGTGTGCATGCGCCTTGTCCTCACAGAGCATCTCCTTGATAGATCCCGCAATTGATGGGCACTCGCTCCTGGTGAAGGCATTCCAGGACCCAGGCATGGGACATTGAGTCATAGGCCTTCTTGTGATCAATTCAGGCAGTGCACAGGTTGATCAACCTGGTCTTGCAGTCTCAGCTGACTGTTCGATCTACTAGTAGCTGGTGTTTTGCGCCTCTGGTATTCTTCCCAATTCCTTTCTGTGTTCCACTCATGTTTTGACCTATGGGTCTGTTCATCTGTGTCTGTGGTTTAAAGTGACAGTGTTTAGAGTCCAGTATTTGTAGTGAGTGTGTAATGGTGTGTGTAAAATGTCAACAGTTCAAAAGCCTGATGGCTTGTGGGTAGAAACTGTCTCTGTGTCTGCTAGTGCAGGTCTGAATGCTCCTAATCTGCCTGCCGGACGGCAGGAGCATGAAACGTCTGTGGCTGGGATCAGAGAGGATCTGCTGCGTCTTGCTCATGCAGCAGTGTCTACAGAGATCCTGCATAGCTGGCAATTCAGTCCTGGTGATGCACTGTGCTCTCACCACCCTCTGCAGAGCTATGTGGTCCGGAACATTACAGCTGCCGTACCAGGTGGTGAAGCAGCCAGTCAGAATACTTTCAATGGTGCATCGATAGAAGTTTGTAAGTGTTCTGGGATTCATGCCGAATATTCTCAGGTGCAGAAAGAAGAGCACCTGTCTTGCTGCTTTTGTGATCACACCAACATGGTGTGACAAACTCAGATCCTGACTAATGTTGATGCCCAGGAATCTGAACCATCTGACTCTCTCCACCTTTGCTCCTTTGATTTGGATGGGGGTGTGGTCTCCTCTCTGCAGTCTCCTGTAATCCACAATGAGCTCCTTGGTTTTGCTGACATTAAGCAGCAGGTTGTTGTCGCGGGACCATGATGTCAGGGCTCTCACCTCTGCCCTGTATACTGTCCTGTCATGTGACGCATACAGGGCAAACCACAGTCACTGCCCATTCCCTGACCATGAGGGCACAAAAAAAGCAAAACACTGAAGATACATTTTAGTATGGATTTGAACTTTTCTAAATTTAATTTTAGTATGAAGTGACTTTTAACATTACATCATTACATTTTTAACATTGAGTTTTGAACCTGGTTAAAGTAAGGACACATTTTATATTTTCTCCAATCACAGGCTGGCTGATTGTCGTCTGTCAGAAACTCACTGTGAAGTTGTGGTCTCAGCACTGAAGTCCAAATCCTCCCATCTGACAGAGCTGGACATGAGTTACAATGATCTGCAGGATTCGGGAGTGAAGGTTCTGTGTACTGTACTGGAGAGTCCAAACTGTCGACTGGAGACTCTGAGGTGTGTTCACTGACTGCAGCTGTTGTTGTGTCGTTCCAAATGACTACAAACTATTGTTGAATTCAAAATCCTGCTCCTCACATACAAGGTCTTAAATAATCAGGCCCCATCTTATCTTAATGACCTTGTAGTACCATATCACCCTATTAGAGCACTTCGCTCTCACACTGCAGGCCTACTTGTTGTTCCTAGAGTATTTAAAAGTAGAATGGGAGGCAGAGCCTTCAGTTTTCAGGCCCCTCTTCTGTGGAACCAGCGTCCAGTTTGGATTCGGGAGACAGACACTATCTCTACTTTTAAGATTAGGCTTCAAACTTTCCTTTTTGCTAAAGCATATAGTTAGGGCTGGACCAGGTGATCCTGAAGCCTCCCTTAGTTATACTGGAATAGGTGACCACTGGGGGATTCCCATGATGCACTGGGTGTTTCTTCTACACTCAATTTCTGCACTGAATCATACTTGTTACTAATCTCTGACTCTATTCCACAGCATGTCTTTCATCCTGTTTTTCTTCTCTCATCCCAGCCGGTCGCGGCAGATGGCCACCTCCCTGAGCCTGGTACTGCCAGAGGTTTCTTCCTGTTAAAAATGAGTTTTTCCTTCCCACTAAAGTGCTAAAGTGCTTGCTCATAGATAAAATTGAATTGAATTGAGTTCCACAGGGTTTGGCGCTGGAACCAATAAATCGAATGCATCCCAACAGCATTTTCAGCACTTCATTTGTTCCACATTTTGGGCTTTTTTGAGGTGAAAAATGAATTTTATAAATTTTGGAATAAGGCTATAACAAGACAAAACTGGAACAAGTGAGTACTGGGAATAGTTTCTCGATGCACCATTCCTCCATTAGCTAGTAGTATTAGAAAATACACATATAGTTTTTATTTGAATCATTTATGATTAGAAAACATCTAGTCTAGGATTGATGCTAAAAAAGAGAGTTCAGGCATTCCTTCCTTATTATAGCCCTAGAGAGACGTCTTCAGATAATCCAAAATGCCGCTGTGAAAGTATTAACAGGGACCAGAGAGAGGGACCATATTTCCCCAATATTCACTTCACTGGCTCCCTGTTAAATCCAGAATTAAACTAAACTAAATTCGTAATGTCATATATAAATGTATCAGGTCCATCATAAAGACCTCTTTATATCATTGTACCATATTATCCTAACAGAGCATTTCATTTTCAGACTGCTTGCTTAAGGCTATTGGGAAAAAAAATCATGAATTCACAAAGTTTTTAGGTGCAAATTTGCTATGTAAAGTATATACAGACCAAAACTGTTTGTCTACTCGTCCTCAAAAACACAGTGCAAAAAAAAAAAAAAAAAATTACATAATTGTGACCCAATATCAAGCGATGATGAGCTGGTCCTGATGTTTCTGAACAAGAAAAGGAAGAAATTGTTATTCTGGATTCATCCAATCTTAACAAAAAAGGCAAAAGCAGAATTTCGTGCTCATACTTATTGTTCTTATTTAAAAGTAGAATAGGAGGCAGAGCTTTAGGAGCTTGGAAAGAAAGCACCTGGACTGCTGTGAGTCTGCACTGAAAATTTCTTTCTTGTCACTCAAATTTTTTTATTTATTTATTTATTTAAATACCACTACTGCATGTCATTAACTTTTGCCTGCTTTCTCTTGTGGTTAGTTTTTCTCCTTGTCTCCTTTTCCCTCACTCATCGCCCTAAACCAATTGCAGTAGATTGCTAACCCTTCCTGACCTTTCCTTTTAGAGGTCTCTTCCTGTTAAAACTGCTTTTTTGCTTTCTTTCTTGCTCATAGGGGATTTTCTGTAATATTGCAATGTCTTATCTTAACTAACTTGAGTTGAGTGGTGTCACCTGTTGATAATTGCCAGTTTATAAATATAAATGCAGATTAACTGAATGGAAATATGGCATAGTCTTTGAAAAAAAAAGAAGAAATCATCATATTAAAACAGACCTTCAGTAAAGTGTTAACAGATGGATTTTTTTTGTAGTCTGTCAGCCTGTCTAATCACAGAGGAAGGCTGTACTTCTCTGGCTGCAGCTCTGAACTCCAACCCCTCCCATATGAGAGAGCTGGACCTGAGCTACAATCATCCAGGGGACTCAGGAATGAAGCTGCTGTTGGCTGGACAGAAGGATTCGCACTGGAGACTGGACACTCTCAGGTATGGAGACTGGACACTCTCAGGTATGGAGAGAATGTCTGATAAAGGAGGAAACATGCTCTGTGTCTATCACTCAGTTGAATAATCTATTATTCAGTGATCCTTGTTTCTTTTTTTTATTATTATTATTATTAATAATAATAATAATAATAATAATAATAATACATTTTATTCGAAAGTGCCTTTCAGAACACTCAAGGACACTGTACACAGCTGAATAATAAAAGCAACATAAAAGCAAATTTAAAATAGCAGAGTGGAGAGGTTATGTGGGATAAGCTATTTTGAACAAGTGAGATTTGAGTTATAAAGAGAGAGAAGGAAATGATATTTCTTGAATCAGGAGGTCGGGAATTCCAGAGTCGAGGAGCAGAGCAGCTGAAAGCCCTGCTCCCCATGGTGGCAAGACGGGGGGAGGGGACAGAGAGAGAAAGGGAAGAAGAAGATCTAAGACACTGAGATGGGGAGGTGATCTGAGCCAGATCAGAGAGATATGGAGGAGAGAGAAGATGAATAGCCTTAAATGTGTAGAGGAGTATTTTGAAATTGAAAAGATATTTGACAGGGAGCCAATGAAGCTGCCACAGGACAGGAGTGATGTGATGGATAGAAGGGGTGCTGGTGATGATATGAGCCGCAGAGTTCTGGACGGGTTGTGGATGGATTTTTGAGTAAGACGAAAAAGAAGTGAATTACAGTAATGGAGTCGGGAAGTAACAAGGCTGTGAACAAAAATGGCATGGTATGTGGGGTGAGAAAAGGACAAAGATGATTAATGTTGCGCAATTGAAAATATGCAGACCGAGTGACATTAATGTGGAAATTAAAAGATAGAATACTGTCGAAGATGACGCCCAAACTTTTTACAGCGGAAGAAACGGAGACCGGCAAGTTATTGATAGCAATAGAGAAACTGTTGGATCTGGATAATGTAGATTTAGTGCCGACCAAGAGGAGCTCGGATTTATTACTGTTGAGTTTGAGAAAATTAGAAGAGAACCATGAATTTTGTTCGGCTAAGCAGAGGGTGAGGGAGGATGGGGGGAGAACAGAGGAAAGGACTGAGAAGTAAAAGATTTGAGTCGAATAAACTGAGTGTGATCAGAAAGGAATGAGAAATAGTGTCGAAAGCAGCAGTCAGATTGAGGAGAATATGAATGGAAAGTAAACCGGAGTCAGTTGCCATAAGAAGATCATTGGTTACTTTTATGATCTTTAAAGACCATTACGAATGTTTGTCTAGTTAGATCAATGATAGACTTAGTTACATGTGACAATATTAAACTTAGCTTAGCTTTAGTTAAGATCCAGTCTGAGGATTTAGGTCTTACCGCAGAATCTTCAGGCTCGTCAATCCTCCTATGGCCTCTCCTTTGGAAAAAACTGCTTATCTTAAAGTGGACACAAAACACTACACACATGAAGGCTAATTTAAATCATGCTCTCAAAAACTGACATACTGTATTTGTAACTCTTTCTATGAAAGTGGATTTAGGGAATATGTGCTTAAAGTTATGTTTTGAGAACATGGGATCTTGTGCAAGTACATAACGTTGAATCACTGGGATGGTTGTGGTGGCCAATAGACTTACATTAGTTTATGTTAGCACATTAGTGACAGAATAAGTAACTCAGTGGAATGCGAGGGGACTAAAACTAAAAAAATCAGTGTATCAGTGTTTTGTGCTGCCCCTGGCTGTAACATTGACTTATATGTTAAAACCAAGGACATACTGTCCACATATAAAATATGAAAACTACAGATCGAAGTCATCAGCAGTTTGATCCATTTATCGATTGAAGTGTATTTGTAAAGATGTTGGACTGCTCCTTTATCAATGTCTAACAGTATATGTATGAGAGCCATGTAATGTCCATGTGTGCATGCTGACTGTGCTGCTCTGACCCCCCTCCTCCTTTCAGGATGGAGCCTGCTGGAGTCCAATGGTTGAGACCAGGTCTGAGGAAGTGTAAGTGTGTTTTTAATGGGATTCATGAAAATAAAGCAGCACACATTCAACCATCTTCATCATTCTGATGTCAGGAGTCACCATCAAAGTGTCAATAAATGAACAGATGAAGGATCAATAACTGCAGCTGGATTGTGTTTGTTCTCTCCATCAGATTCCTGTCAACTCACAATCGACACAAACACAGTGAACACAAAGCTCCAACTGTCTGACAACAACAGGAAGGTGACACATGTGGAGGAGGTTCAGTCATATCCTGATCATCCAGACAGATTTGATGTTCGTCCTCAGCTGCTGTGTAGCAATAGTTTGACTGATCGCTGTTACTGGGAGGTTGAGTGGAGAGGAGAAGTTGAGATATCGGTGAGTTACAAAGGAATCACTAGGAAAGGAGACGGTGATGACTGTTGGCTTGGACTGAATGATCAGTCCTGGATTCTGTACTGCTCTGATCGTGGTCCGGATTCTGTCTGGCACAATAACAAAGAAACAACCATATCCTCCTCCTCCTCCTCTGTCTCTAACAGAGTAGGAGTGTATGTGGACTGTCCTGCTGGCACTCTGTCCTTCTACAGAGTCTCCTCTGACACTCTGATCCACCTCCACACCTTCAACACCACATTCACTCAAACTCTTTATCCTGGATTTGGGTTTAGATCAGGTTCCTCAGTGTCCCTGTGCTGAGTTGAGTGTAAAATGTGTTAGAGAAACACACTGACTGTTGAACAGATAGTTCAGTCTGTACATGTCTGTCTCTTGTTTTCAGATTCATGGAATGATTCAGTTGATCTTTCTAAATGATTCCTTGTAATCATCTTAGCTTTTTCAACCCTTTAAAGATGAAGAAGCTATTATTATTCCATGATCTACATATTGTTTTTCTGGCTTTGTCATAAAATATAATCTAAAATATTAAAGATATTCATTATTGCTCATGTTTTTGTAATTTTATAACAATTTCTACTTTTAAAAGCTGGTCTAGGCAAAGAAACATGAACTTCCAACTTGTTCAGATCAATATCTATGTCATTAACAACTCCTTAAACGCTTCATTGATGTTGATTTTTGGCCCTCTGGTGGTGAGAAGATGAAGTGCATGATGTTAGTTAGTAAAACATGAATTGTTTTTATGTGTTTTTATAATTATACTGATGACTGCTGTTAACCACACTGATAGCACCAGTGATGTCTTCAACACAAACACCAATCCATCCAGTTCATTCCAGAGAAACCATCAGGATCACTGCCCTTCAGTAGTCACTGTCAGTAACTACAACTCATATATACATATATATCCTTAATAATACTGATATCTTGATGTTATGACTGCAGCGTTTCAGCACTAATGTTCATCGGTGTGATAATGACTCTGTATATGTCAACACAGGTTTTATTAAATTGACTTCATGTTGTCCTATTATTAGTCAATGGTGCTAGTTTCTGTCATTATGCAATTGTACTGTTTATGAGGTTTGGAGAATTGCACATCTCACTCCTGCCTGGTGCAAAAGTCTGTGCTCAGCACTTACATGGCGACTTCATTTTCATGGATAAACATGGTTGATCTCATCCTGAGGAAGAATAAGTACTGAAAGCCATACTGAAAGAAATTCAGCACACTGACAAGCTCCACAATAGGAATGGGAGTTGATAAGAATGTAGCGATTTGATTTCGGACTGCCTTGAAGAGATTCTGGCAAACCGTCAGGCGTCTCAGGAGGGGAAAGCGGTGCTCTACCTGCACTGTGTATAGTGCTGACGGAGCGCTGCTGACGTCGACTGAGAAAATTGCCAGGCGGTGGAAGGAATACTTCGAGGACCTCCTTAATCCCACTGACACGTCTTCCGAGGAGGAAGCAGAGTCTGGGGATGAGGGGAATGGCCCGCCAATTTCCGGGGGTGAGGTCACTGAGGCAGTTAAACAACTCCTTGGTGGCAGAGCCCCTGGTGTTGATGAGGTCCACCCCGAGTTCCTGAAGGCTCTGGACGTTGTAGGGCTGTCCTGGTTGACACGCCTCTGCAATGTTGCGTGGAGATCAGGGGCAGTACCCCTGGACTGGCAGACCGGGGTGGTGGTCCCCATCTTTAAGAAGGGGGACCGGAGGGTGTGTTCCAACTACAGGGGGATCACGCTCCTCAGCCTCCCTGGGAAAGTCTATGCCAGGGTGCTGGAAAGGAGAGTTTGTCCGCTAGTCGAACCTCAGATACAGGAGGAACAATGCGGTTTTCGTCCTGGTCGCAGAACACTGGACCAGCTCTTTATCCTCTCAAGGATACTTGAGGGTGCATGGGAGTTTGCCCAACCAGTCTACATGTGTTTTGTGGACTTGGAGAAGGCATTCGACCGTGTCCCTCGGGGGGTCCTGTGGGAGGTGTTGCGGGAGTATGGGGTGTCTGGCCCATTGCTACGGGCCATTCGATCCCTATACAACCGTTGCAAGAGCTTGGTTTGCATTGCCGGCAATAAGTCGGACTCGTTCCCGGTGGGTGATGGGCTCCGCCAGGGCTGCCCTTTGTCACCGGTTCTGTTCATAATTTTTATGGACAGGATTTCTAGGTGCAGCCAAGTGGCGGAGGGCTTTCGCTTTGGTGGCCTCAGAATCTCATCTCTGATTTTTGCGGATGATGTGGTTCTGTTGGCTTCATCAGGCGAGGGCCTCCAGCTCGCAATGGAACGGTTCGCAGCCGAGTGTGAAGCAGCGGGAATGAGGATCAGCACCTCCAAATCTGAGGCCATGGTTCTCAGCCGGAAAAGGGTGGAGTGCCCACTCCGGGTCGGGGATGAGTTTCTGCCCCAAGTGGAGGAGTTCAAATATCTCGGGGTCTTGTTCGCGAGTGATGGGAGAAGGGAGCCGGAGATCGACAGACGGATTGGGGCTGCAGCTGCAGTAATGCGGACGCTGCACCGGTCCGTCATGGTGAAGAGGGAGCTGAGTGTAAAAGCGGAGCTCTCAATTTACCGGTCGATCTACATCCCTACCCTCACCTATGGCCACGAGCTGTGGGTAGTGACCAAAAGAACGAGATCGCGGATACAAGCGGCAGAAATGAGTTTCCTCTGAAGGGTGGCTGGCCTCTCCCTTAGAGATAGGGTGAGAAGTTCGGCCATCCGGGAGGGGCTCAGAGTAGAGCCGCTGCTGCTCCACATCGAAAGGAGACAGCTGAGGTGGTTCGGGCATCTGACAAGAATGCCCCCTGGGCGCCTCCTGGGTGAGGTGTTCTGGGCATGTCCCACCGGGAGGAGGCCCCGGGGCAGACCTAGGACACGCTGGAGAGATTATATCTCTCGGCTGGCCTGGGGATGCCTTGGTGTTCCCCCGGATAAGCTGGAGGAGGTGGCTGGGGAGAGGGAGGTCTGGGCCTCTTTGCTTAGGCTGCTGCCCCCGCGGCCCGGCCTCGGATAAAGCGGATGAAGATGGACGGATGGATTTCATATCAATTCTTTTATTGATTCTCTTTGGTGTCTGGGCACAAGCCGTCAGACACAAAAGTGGACTTGCGGAACTGACTCGACACCAACACTGGGAAGTACATGAAATTAGCTTTAATAAAGAGAGTGATGTTTGAATACAATGCTTGTGCATGTGACACAATGACTATATACAGTAACTGGGTGAAATGACCACACACTTTAACGCTAAGGAACGGGGCAGGGCTATACACAGGGGAAATACAACACGACCGTGAAATTTGAGCTAAACATGGAATATTTACACTATGACCTACAATTCTACTATGAGCAAGAGTATGTGAGCAGAACACTGAGTATTTACACTATGACAAATAGTACTACTATAAGCAAATATGAGTGAATGAAGCCAAATCAGAGAGAAGGTGGTAAAGGCTGCAGTGAAGTCTAGAGACCGGGAGGAGAGTGGCGAATGAATGTTCCGGAAATGCAACTGGACACAGGAGAAAACAAGGTTAGAAACAGCATGAGCACTTAACGAGACATTAGAATTGGCAAACATTAATGCTGGTTAGCAGACGTTCTGGTGACGAGTAGTTGTCATGAAAGGACTTAAATATGGCAGCGCAAGTTAGCTCCAGGTGCGGCTCCTGAAAAGAAGACTCTGAATCCACCCCGGGTGGTATTATGGTCCTAAACTATTCAGAGCTTTATAGACCAGCATCAGAACTTTAAAGTCTATCCTCTGATGGACCGGCAGCCAGTGTAAAGACCTCAGAGCTGGACTGATGTGGTCCACTTTTTTGGTCTTAGTGAGGACTCGAGCAGCAGAGTTCTGAATGAGCTGTAGTTGTCTGACTGATTTTTTTAGGTAGACCTGTAAAGATGCTGTTACAGTAATCAAGCCTACTAAAGATGAATGCATGGACTAGTTTTTCCAGGTCCTGTTGAGACATCAGATCTTTTATCCTTGAAATATTCTTGAGGTGATAGTAAGCTGATTTTGTTATTGACTTAACCGATGTGTGGTGTTCATATTTTTGTTACTCAGCCATTGTTCATGGGTCTGGTGGACCCGCTAGAGTTTTGGCTTTCCAAATTAACACTATCAAACAATTTTATGTTAAATTACTCAACAGATGTTTACTTCATCCCAATTACAAGCCATATGAACAGCAAACATGGTTAATTTTTTTCCCTTTACCTTTGTTAGATCACATTTATGAATTAATGTGCTTCTCGTGTTTGTTTTTTTTTTGTTTTTTTTTTGTTTTTTTTTATAAAATGTTATAAAAAAATAAATCAGTTATAATCAAGTGGAGTGACTGGAAAGACACAACACATTTACACATGAAGCAATATGTTTCACAACTAAATGGGATCAGCT